GTTTTTTCTTATATCTGTTATGCCCAGGGTTGTCAATGACCTTGCCAGTATTTTGTCATGAAAGCTAAAAGCATGCTTTACTGTGTCTTGCCCTGGATTTTAAGTTGTGGTTTTGGCAACTCTAATTTCATCCCATGTATGCTATCTTGGAAGGACCACTAGGCTTTCAAGAGACTTGGTTTTTCGTCAATCAGTCAATCTGTCAACAAGCATTTATTAGGCATATGTGCCAGGCATTGTACTGGGGACATAAAGAAAGGCCAAAACACAGTCATTGCCCTCAAGGGGTTCATATTCAAATGGGGGAAACAATATGCAAATAACTCTGTACATACAAGGCAATCTTTTATTTTTTAAAGTTCAGTTTTATTTTATTTTCAGTTCCAAATTCTTTCCATCCTTCCTTTCTTTCCCCCCTCCCAGCCACTGGGAAGGCAAGAAAACCAAAACCTATTATAAGTATGTATAGTCATGCAAAACAAATTTCTACATTAGCCTTGTCCAAAAGAACAAGAAAGAAAGAGAGGGAAAAGGAAGGGGAGAGAGAGAGAGAGAGAGAGAGAGAGAGAGAGAGAGAGAGAAGGAAATATGCCTCAGTCTGCAATGAGTCCATCAGCTCCCTGTCTGGAGGTGGATAGCATGACTTTGAGCATTGCGATTGGTCATTGTGTCCACCAGAGTTACTAAGTTTTTCAGAGTTGATTATCTTTACACTATTTCTGTTACTGTATACATTGTTCTCTTGTTTTGCTCACGATTTTGTATCAGTTCATGCAAGTCTTAAATGGAAGATAGTCTTAAGGAAAGTAAGAGTGGAAAGGACCAGGAAAGACCTTCTGCTGAAGGTGGGATCTAAGCTGTGTCTTGAAGGAAGCCAGGGAATTTAAGCATCCAGGGTAAAGAGGAGAGTGTTCCAGGGATGGGGGACAAGTAGTGCAAATGTTTAGTGCCTATTATGATCCTATGATTCTCTGTCCTGACCAGGTATAGAACTTTGGACAAGACATTTCCCCTCTCTGGGGCTCAGTTTCTTCATCTGTAAAATGAAAGCGGTGGGTTAGTTGATCTTTGCGTTTCTTTCCAGAGTTAACATCCTATATGGTTCATGGAAGGGGGTGGGGTGGGCAGCTGGGTGGCTCAGGGGATACAGTGTGGGGCCTGGAGTCAGGAAGACTCAACTTCCTGAGTTCAAATATGGCCTCAGACACTTACTAGCTGTGTGACCCTGGGCAAGTCACTTCACCCTGTTTGCCTCAGTTTCCTCATCTGTAAAATGAGCTGGAGCAGGAAATGGCAAACCACTTTAGTACCATTGCCAAGAAAACCCTCAAAGGGGTTGCGAAGAGTTGGACGTGACTGAAACAGCTCAACAACAAAAAGGGGTTGGGAGGGTGAAGGGAGACATTGCCTCCAGAAGATTCTCCTTCGCCTAGAGTCTAGTCATACCCAGAAAGAACGGACTAACCCTACCCAAGAAAACTTTACAGCTTTAGAACATTCAGGATTTGAATGACCACCGTCCTACTGCACCACCCCTAGGAAAACCCAACTCCCTCCCCTTTTCCTGCTGATTAATAGTTTCTTCTGGAGATGTGGCCTACTTCTTGTGAGTTTTTTCAAACCAGCTTCCTGTTTTGGACATTTATCAAGCTTCCTTTATTTTCCCCAACTCTCCTTACTTGGATTTCCCCTCTCCACACACACAAGGCTTAGTTAAAGGGGCCTTTGTTTAAAAATGGTTGGGAAGAGCAGAGGGGGGCAGGAATGGAGGCAACTTATGTGTCCTAGGAGAGGAGTGAGTTCCGAGTTGCTGGGTTGGTGGCTAAGTGAGCCACAGAAGGGGCTCAACTAGGTGGGTTTGGCGGGAAGATAGGTGGGAGGGGAAGGGGCAGGATGGTGTTGAGTGGATGGGGTGCTGGCCTTGGTTGGTATAGTGCCTCCTCACACCCCAGCAAAGCCTTTGATGACATCATTTGAGGGCTATGGGGAGTTTGGATGACACCATTAAAGGACCTTTGTCTCTCTGGTCTTTGGAATGTAGTCCGTTTGGCTTTTAAAGTCACTGGGACAGTGGTCTTCTCTCTACTTCTAGACCCTTGTCATCCAGAAGGAATCTTTTGCTCCAGGCTGTGATAGGAGATAGGTTACAAAGTATTTCCAAGCTGGTCAGTTGGCAGCAAACACTCCCCCTCCATTCCCCCACCCCCACCCCCTAGTGCCTAACATGTAAAGGAGAGTTCTTAGTTTTTTTTGTGTCAAGGGCTCTTGGTGAAGCCTATGGATCTCTTCATCAGAATAATTTCTTTTACCCATAACAAGGAATGTTAAATTTCAATTAGAAGTCAATGAAAATAAAGATCTTATTTTTTTCCCAGTCCAAGCTCATGGATCCCTGAAATCTATCCATGAGCGGCAGGTAAGAAACCCTTAATATGAGGCACCCCTGCTAGTTAGCTTAGCTGAAGGTAGAGCCAAGATAAGGCATTTAAACTCCTTAGGCAATTGAGTTCAATCAGTAAACATTTATTAAGGGAAGAATGGAAGGAAATAAACATTTAGTAAGCATCTTTCACATGCTTAGGCACTGTGCAGGGCCTTGGAGACAAAGAGACAAAAATGAAATTCACTCGCCTTATTAGCTGTGGGACCTTGGACGAGACACTTCTCATCTCTGGGCCTTAGTTTTCCTCATTAGCAAAATGAGGAGAGGGGAAGTGGTTGGGCTAGCTGACCATTGAGGTCCCTTCCAGTTGTAAATCTATGATTTTTTAATTAATAGTATTTTAGTTTTTCCAATTATATATAAAGACAATTTTTAACATTCATTTTCTATAAAATTTTGAGTTCAACATTTTCTCTCTCTTTCCCTTCCCTCCCCACTCCCTAGAACAGTTAGCAATTTGATGTAGGTTATATGTGTGCAATCATGTAAAACACAGCTCCGTATTCGTCATGTTGTGAAAGAAAAAACAGTTTGCAAAAGGAAAAAAAAACATGAAAAAAATAAAATGAAAATGCTATTCTATCTGCATTCAGACTCCATCAATCTATGAGCTTTCTAAGAAGCTTGTGATTGTTGCAACTAAACCAATTTTGCTCCTTTTTCTAACTGCTTGTCTTGCCTAGTCCAGTAGAATCCTCTGTCCCCTCTGGTCTCCTTGAAGATTTAGCTCAAATCCCACCTTCCCCAGGAGGTCTTTCCTAGTCCTGACTCTGCCCCCCAAGGGCTAGCACCTTCTTTTGGAAGACTATCTGAAAATACTCTCTATGTCTTGTATGTTCCTATTTATGTTATCTTCCTCATTAAGAACTCTCCTTTGAAAACAAGGACTGGGGGTTTTTTGGTCTTTTTTTATATTTTCTGCTACTTACCAGTTCCTGGAACATGTTCAGTTCATTTTTCAGTTGTGGCTGACTCTTCATGACCCATTTTGGGGTTTTCTTGAGAAAGATACTGGAGTAGTTTGCCATTTCCTTCTTCAGCTCATTTTACACTCGAGGAAACTGAGGCAAATAGGATGAAGTGACTTGTCCAGAGTCATACAGTTAGTAAGTGTCTGATGCCAGATTTAAACTCAGGAAGTTTAGTCTTCCTGACTCCAAGACTGGAACTCCAGCTAACATCCACCAAGCTGCTGCTGCTGCTGTTGCTAATAATAATAATTATAATAATAATGGCAATAATGATGATGATGATAAAAGCATTTATATAGCATTTTAAGGTATGCATAAACCATTTTGCAATGGATTACATCCATTATCTAATTTGAGCCTCACAACTAAAACATGCCCAAAGTTGCAGAGCAAATTAAAGCAGATTAGAGCCCTGATCTTTTTCCAGTCCAATCATAATTGATACATAATTAATGAATACAAATTTATAAATATTAAATGTGCACTTATTAAGCATCTTCCATGATCCTAGCCCCCTGTGCTAGGCAGTAAGGATATAAAAGCAAAAAAGAAATCATTCCTCAACTTGAGCTTACATTGTATGGGAGAACTACAGGTATATAAGCAGATGCAGAATATATACAAAGACAATATAAGGCATTGTGTGTGTGTGTGTGTGTGTGTGTGTGTGTGTGTGTGTGTGAGAGAGAGAGAGAGAGAGAGAGAGAGAGAGAGAGAGAGAGAGAGAACAGCAAGAAGGCTAGCTTGGTTAGACAGAAGAGTTTATGAAGCAGATTACTGTATAAAAAGGCTAGAAGGGTAGGTTGGAGCTGGGTTGTAAAGAACTTTAAATGCCAGACAGGAGTTAGGATTTGATCTTAGAGGTAATAGGGAGCCACTGGAGTTAATATATTGAGTAGGAGAGTGACAAGGTCAGACCTGTGCCTTGAAAGAATCACTTTCTTTTTCTTTCTTTCTTTCTTTCTTTCTTTCTTTCTTTCTTTCTTTCTTTCTTTCTTTCTTTCTTTCTTTCTTTCTTTCTTTCTCTCTCTCTCTCTTTCTTTCTTTCTTTCTCTCTTTCTTTCTTTCTTCAATTTAAATATTTAATTTTTCACCTAGTTACATGTAAAGACAATTTTTCACATTCATTTTTTAAAAATTTTGAGTTCCAAATTTTCTCTCTCTCTCCCTCTTTCCCCTTCCCTCCCCCCAAGACAGTCAGCATTTTGATACAGGTTATACATGTTCAATCATGTAAAACACATTACCAGAAGTATCACTTCTAAAGAATGGATTTAAAAGGGAAGGGAAGGGATGGGGAGGAGAGGGTTCTTTCCATTCCCAACGGATGGGAAACATATCCCAAGAAGCCACAGGTCACAAAAGTCTGTTTCTCCATCTAGGGCTTAGGGTTTGTAGGGGGTGGGGTGTGGTAGGGGCGGGGTTTGCATAATCACGGATTCTGGTGAAGCCCTCCTGCCCAGGACTATAAATGGTCAGTTCTTATTGGTCTCCCTTCAGGCACTGCTGGAGGTTTCTTTTTAGAAGATACTTGGGGGAAGGAGGCGAAGTGATCTAACATAGCTTCCTCTTCTCCTTTGCAACAGCAGAATAACCCACCATGGCCTACCACAGCTTCCTGATTGAACCCATCAGCTGTCACGCCTGGAACAAGGACAGAACCCGTGAGTGCCCCCCTTCGATTCAAATCAGCTCACTTGCCCCGGGCATCTTCTGCAGGCCAAGCATTCACAGCAGCGGGAGAGGACCGAAGCAGGAGGAGGAGGGGGCCCTTCCCTCCCCAGGAGAAGCAGCTGAAGCAGAATTCAGCTTTATCTAGACAGAGCAAGGGTTCTTAATGTTTTTGGTGTCATGAGCCCCTCTAGCAGTCAGGTGAAGCTGATTGTCCCCCTTCTCAGAAGAAGTTGTTAAATGCATAAAATAAAATATGTAGGATTTCAAAGGAAACCATTTCTATTGAAATACAGTAATCAAAATTTAAAAACAATGAACCCAAGTTCACTGGCCCAAGATTATGGACCTTTGATCTAGAGGCCAAACCCAAAGAATCATAGAGCTGGGAGGTCTTCTAGTCCAACTGCTTCATTTGACAGAGCAGGAAACTGAGGCCCTAAGAGGGGAGTGACTTTCCCAAAGTCACCTAATGAGTTAATTACTGACCTAGAAGCGTCAAACCAGAGCTTTTCCTATTGGTCCACATTGCCTCCTGATTAGGGGATGCTGTGTGTGTGTGTGTGTGTGTGTGTGTGTGTGTGTGTGTGTGTGTATGTGTGCAAAACAGTGCAAAACTCTGGAGTCAGGGGACTCTAGTTCAAATCAAACCTCTAATATTTACTGCCTTTGTGACTTTGGGCAAATCACTTTAACCTCCGTAGGCCCCAGTAAAAGGAGGGACTGGAAAAACAAATAAATAAGTAAATAAAAAGGAGGGAGTAGACTAAATGACCTCTCAGGTCCCTTCCATGTCTAAATCCAGGGGGCGCTATGAATTGAAGACTGGTCACAACTTACTCATGGCCTGCTCTATCTTCTAGTACTCTCTGCCCCAGTCAAGCCTGCCTCCTCACCATCCCCCAGAAGGGCTTTCCACGTTCTCCCTCACCAGTCTGCCTTTTTCACCTATCTTCCCTCCCCCTCCTGGATGGCTCTCCTCACTCTTGGCCTATATAAATTCTACCCAACTTTGAAGGCCCAGCTCATAGTTCACCTCTTCCATGAAGCCTTCCTGGATTGCTCCTCTACCTCCACTGTACACACCCCCAATCCACAATGGTGTTTGTTCCCCCAGATTCCTACTGCCTTTATTGTTTGGACCAGGGGTGGGGAACCTGAGGCCTTGAGGCCACGTGTGGCCCTCTAGGTCCTCAAGTGTGGCCTCGAGGTCACAAGTTCCCACCTCTGGTTTGGACCACTTCATTTGACTTTTAGCATAAGCTGCCTTGTCTTGTTATAATACAGACATATATCACGAGCCTATTTTTTCTGGGCACCTCGGGAGGCCCTGGGGATGCTAAAAAGAAAACAAAAACTAGAATCTCTGACAAGGACCTCACAATGATTTTGGGGAGGGGTGCAACTAGTACAGGGATAAGTGAGTACAAAGGGATTTCTGAAGGGAGGAAGCCTTGTCTTTGTAGAATAAAGAATCCCCTGGTGTTTCCCTGTCTCCTCAGCTAGTCTGTGAGCTCTTTAAGAGGAGGGATTGTTTCATGTGGCTTTGTAACCCCTAGGGAAGGCCCTCCTGCTTTACCGGCTGCTCAGGGTGGCTTGGCTTCTCTCTAGGAGCCATTCTTCCCCATAAGCCTAGCGGCCGCTCTCACTTAGTAAACTCTCCACAGATTAAAACGTATTTACAGGGTGGCCCCAAAAATCTTAGTACAAATGTTAAAGGTCCAACCTACACTAAGTCTTTATGGATACCCTGTATAGAAAATATATATTATTATGTGTAAGCAACAGAAAGGGAGCTTTGCTCTCAGCCTCGGGAAGGGAATAGGACCATCTTCTTTCCTAGTCCTCAGAGGAATCAGCTCCCATTCCTGCATAAACAGATTCACAGCATAAGCAGGGAAAGTTCTAATAACGTGAGCAGAGTTAAAGGACCTTGCGACGCAGTCTCTGTCCTGTCTCTAACTGGCTTCCCTTGGAGTCTTAGCTCCTTTCATGATGGAGGTTTGCTGGTAAATTACAAGCCAACATATGTTGTTGCGTTAAGAGAGTTCTTCTCTCCTTACCTCAACCTCAGTTTCCTCTTCTGTAAAATGGAAATGATAATAACACCAATTTTACCACATTGTTGTGAGGATCAAATAATATAATACATATGAAGTGTTTTACAAATAGCTCTCCTCTTCCTCCCTCTCCTCCTCTTTCTCCTCCTCCTCCTCTTCCTCCCTCTCCTCCTCCTCTTCCTCCCTCTCCTCCTCCTCTTCCTTTTCCTCCTCTTCTTCCTCCTCTTATTATTGTTGTTGTTGTTGTTACTGTTACCTTGCCTTCTCATTTGCCAAAAACCTAGATGGAAAGAATTTGCTATCCTGACATTTAGGAAAAAGCAGTGGGCCAGGAGTCAGGAGACCTGTACTTTAGCACCATCTCTGCCACAAACCCATTGTATAACTCCTTGTAAATCACTTCACCTATTTCAGCCTTAGTTTTTCCATCTCTGCCCTTGAACTAGGAGGTTCCCAGGACAGCTCCCCCAATTTTACAGACTTGCTGTGTATTCTGAGTTCCCCATTTACCTTTCTTTCAACTGTCCTTGGATACTCACTACCTGTTCTATTGGGCTAGCCTCCAACTAGGCTTGGTCTGAGTTGTCTCTGTATTGGACAGAAGTAAGTGAGCTTTGGGCAGTCTTTTTTTTTTTTTTTTTTTTAAATTTTATTGATGTCTGTAAGAGGAGGACCACTTTTGGGTTCCCGTGCTGAAGGACTCCTGAGCTAATCCTTAGCATGAGGAGCCGAAATGTCATGATTCTTTTATAGATTTCTCCCATATGCATTCTCCCATACATCTTCACCCTGCTGTCTTTTCTACTGGTCCCCACATAACCATCATGCCATCTTGAAATGCAGTAGCCCAACCAGTTCTCTTTCCAGGCATCCATTGGGAAAGCAGCGTGCTGTAGTTGAAATCTGACATTATTGAAGCCCCAAGATCCAGGTGCAAGTTCCAATTCTTCTACCTTCTAGTTTCATGACCAAGATAGAGTGACTTTATCTCTCTGGGATTTACTTTCCTCATCCACAAAATAAGGGAATTGGAAAGATAATCTCCAAGAGGTATTCCAACTCTGAATCTGTGATCTTATGAAATGAAATGAAAAACAGATTATATCACATTCATTTCCTAATATACACCACCCCCCACCCTCACCACCACCAAAACCCCCTAGAAACAAAGAAAGTTCAGCAAAACAAACTAACAATGACCTCCTGAGGCAGCACATGCAACATTCCACTCCCATGATCCTCCATGTCTCTGCCAAAGACCCTGTTTTCACAACTTGTACCTGGTATCAGTGAAAATACTCCTGCTTCTCCCTATCTACTTTGAAATACTTGGCAATATTTTGTAAATTACTTCCCTTATTGCCAAGGCTAAGAGGGTCACCCTGGTCGAAATGCAGGAAACTGGCATTGGGTAGATCCATCCCTTTTCACTCCACAGGATAACTTAACTCCTCCAAGTACTATTTTTTCCCTTTGCTCATACCAGAACAGCCACCTTCTTTGTCCAAGAACCACTGAATGTTGGAGCTTGTTTTATAAAATTAGACAGTTAGATGGGATGATCTCTAAGTCCCTCCTAGCTCTGACATTCTGTGATATCAGTCTTTTCCTAAGGGGAAACAGTCCTCATTTTGTGGAAGGAAGGAAAAAAGGAAGGAGGAAAGGAAGGAAAGAAGGAAGGAAGGGAGAAAAGAATACTCATTTTAGAAAATATTGAGTCCCTCATTCTCTCATTCCCTCCAGCCTCTCTCTCACCCATTGAGAAGGTAAGCAATTATACCTGTAAAGTGATTCAAAACATATTTCCATATTAGTCATGTTGCAAAAAAAAGGCAAGAAAAATAAAGTAAATTTTAAAAGAATGCTTCAGTCTGTACTCAGAGTTCATCAGTTCTCTCTCTGAATGTAGATAGTTTTTTGATTTGTGAGTCGTTTGGGATTGTCTTGGATCATTGCCTTGATCAGAGTAGCTAAGTCTTTCACAGTTTTGTCATCACAATATTGCTATTATGGTGTATAGTGTTCTCCTGGTTCTGCTCACTTTCACTTTGCATCAGTTCATATGTCTTCCCAAGTTTTTCTGAAACCATCTCCCTCGTCATTTCTTACAGCACAATAGTATTCCATCACAGTCATATACACAACTTGTTCAGTCATTCCTCAATTGATGGGCATCCCTTCCTCGATTTACAATTCTTTTCTACCACATAAAGAGTGACTATAGATATTTTTGTACATATATGTCCTTTTCCCTTTCTTCTTTGATCTTTTTGGGATATAGACCTAGTAGTGGTATTTCTGGGTCAAAGGATGTGCACAGTTTCATAGCTTTTTGGACATAGTTCCAAATTGTTTTCCAGAATGTTTGACCAGTTTACAACACCACGAACAGTGCATTAGTGTATCTATTTTCCTGCATCCCCTCCAGCATTTGTCATTTTCCTTTTCTGTCATGTTAGCCAATCTGCTGGGAGTGAGATAATACCTCAGAGTAGAAAAAAGCATTTATTAAATGCCTACAGTGTCTCAGGCACCATGCTAGGTGCTTTATACATATTATCTCATTTGATCCTCACAACAACTTTGGGAAGTCGGTGCTATTATTATCCTTATTTTACAGATGAGGAACCTGTGGCTGAGAAGGTTAAGTGACTTGCCCAGGGTCACACAGCTAGTAAGTTTCTGAGGCTGGATTTGAACTCAGGTCTTCCTGACTCTAGACCAAGGTCGCACAGTGAGCAATTGTGGTAGAACTGGGCCTCTTGGTTCCCAGACCAGTGTTCTTTTTCCTACACTACATTGTCCATTTGGGTCAGAGCCCTGAGGGAAAATCATTTAGCTCCTCAAAGCATTTAGCTGTAGGGGTCCATCATATGTGTCTGTGAGCATGTGCATGTGCCCAGGGATGCTTGTACATGTGTATGCTTATGGGGATAAGGGAGGGGAATGACTGCCTTCCAGGAATGGTGGGCCTGAAGTTGAATTTGTCTTCCACTCATTCCCATCCAGCTTTCTTGTGGTCCACAGAATCCTTGAACCCAACCTGGCTTCTCTTTCCCAATGCTCCCTTCCCCCTCTCCCCATCATTGCTTCCCTGCCTCCCTGTTTTCCTCTCTCCTCCCTCTCTTCCTCTCTCCCTTTTCCCCTCTGTCACTGGCAGGACAATGACTTTGATAACACAAATGACCTTGGTTTATCACCCCCACAGAGATCGCCATCTGTCCAAACAACCATGAGGTCCACATTTATAAGAAGGATGGAACCAAGTGGACTAAAGTGCATGAACTGAAGGAGCACAATGGACAGGTGACAGGTGAGCTTGGGTGTGTACCCCTGGGTGCTTCAGTGGGGAAATCCTGTCCTGACCCTTCCCATTTCTTCCCTAGGGAATAGAGGTCTGTGTATACAGAGTGAAGGGATGGAGGCATCAACAGGCCAGAGGTTCTTGAGAAAAGGCTGTTTGTTTCTTCATATGAAGGCCATGGTGCTCACCTACAAGGCCATAGAGTGAATGTTAGCACTACATACAATCTTGCAGACATCTGAATAAAGAAGCGTGGCAAAGTGGAAAGAGGATTGGACTGGAAATCAGAAGACCTGGGCTTGAATCCTGGCTCTGTGTGGCCTTGGGCAAAATACTTCTCTCTGGGCCTCAGTTTCCTCCTTTATAAAATGAAGGAGCTAGATTAAATCACTATTTCCTTCTGACTTTAAAAGTCTGTGATCTAGTACAGCCTCTCAAAGGCCGTGGCAGGTGTGTAGTTCATAGCAAATTTTTACCAGTCCCTTAAACTTGGGTTATCAAAAGCCTTAACTTTTTAGAAACCACAAAGCTGAAAAGCTGATTCTTTCTTCTCCTGATCCTTCCACGTCTTCCTCCCTCCGTCCCCCTGGCTCCCAGGTCTAGCCCTCTGAGCCACTGATCCCCACTGAGCTGAAGCTGAAATGGTCCACGGTAGAGGAAGTGAATGCTTTGTCTGTCTGTAGGGCCAGGGACATGAGTGGAGAGGAACCAACATCCTAATTACAACCTTTGCTTGGAAAAAGTGCCTTTATCCCAAGAGTTCACTGAGCTGTATGGATCTTCATTCATCCTCGTCTCTTGGTTTAGGGAAACATAGTCCCTTTGTCCGAAGAAGGTGAGGGCCTGGCCTTGGAATCATTCTGCAACCCTGGGGACAGGTCCTGCTTTATCTGTGGCAGACTTTTGATGCAAGTGACTAAGTGACTTTGTCTTTAGTATCCCACCCTCTTCTTCAGGCACCTAGGTCCCCTTCCTCTCCAATACTTAGAGGCAGCTAGGTGGTGCCATAGTGCACAGAGTCCCAGGCTTGTCAAGAAGACTCCTCTCCCTGAGTTCAAATCTGACCTCAGACACTTACTAGCTGTGTGACCCTGGGCAAGTCACTTCACCCTGTTTGCCTCAGTTTCCTCATCTGTAAAATGAGCTGGAGAAGGAAATGGCAAACCACTCCAGTATCTGCCAAGAAAACTCCATATGGGGATATGAAAAGTCAGACATGACTGAAGAATAAGAATAACAACTATACTTTCTAGGCTAATGATTCATGTCCTCAAGGTACTACTCTGGGACCTAGTTGGACTCATACAGTTTTACATAAAGGTATTAGTGGGTGCTAGTGAATCAAATGAGCACTTACCTTTTAGCAGGGGCCTTCTGGAGACACAATGACTTTATACCCAAAGGTGTGAATTTCACAGTGGGAATTTCAATCTCAATGTCAGGCTGCTTTGGAGTTCCCACACTGGGACTTCCTTACAGTGACAAACTCATGGGTCTCTCACATCATTCCCAGGGGCTGGCCTTGGGGACTGGAAACCCTCTTCTGACTACTTTCCTCCCTGCCTCGGCCTGCAGGTATTGATTGGGCTCCTGAGAGCAACCGCATTGTCACGTGTGGCACGGACCGCAATGCTTACGTGTGGACTCTGAAAGGGAACGTCTGGAAGCCCACCCTGGTCATCCTGAGGATCAACCGGGCCGCCCGCTGCGTCAGGTGGTCCCCCAAGGAGAACAAGTTTGCGGTGGGCAGTGGTTCCCGCGTCATCTCCATCTGCTACTTCGAACAGGAGAATGACTGGTGAGGTCGTGCAGGGGAGTCCTGGGAGTGTGAGGAGGCGATGGAAGTCCGGGGGTGGGGAAGGAGAAGAAGCCTTTATAAAAAGCCTACTATGTGCCAGGCACTCTGCTAAGTGCTTTGACAAATATTATCTCATTTGATCCTCACAACAACCCTGGAAAGTAGGTGCTATCATTTCCCCCATTTTACAGATGAAGAAACTGAGGCAAACAGAGGTTAAATGGTTTGCCCAGGGTTACACACAGGTAAAGTGTCTGAGGCTGGATTTGAACTCAGGTCTTCCTGACTCCAGGCCCAGTGCTCTAACCACTATGCCACTAGCTGTCTCTCAGAGGGGGCTTATACCATCTTGGAGAGAGATAGAGGAGAGGGGAAGATTTCCTCCCCCCAGGTGCCAGGGTTAGAAAGGGGTAGAGAGAGTATTTAAGAAACTCTGATTAGTGAGAAATGGTCATGATTTGACATGTGTAAGGCCTGTTGAATCAGAGATACAGAGCTGGAAAGAACCCGAGAAACCACTTGGTACAACTCTCTTATTTTAGGGAGGAGAAAACCGAGGCCCAGAAAGGTTAAGTAATTTGCCTTGTGTCACAAAAATAGTAAGTGGAATTTTGAACCAAGATCTTTCTGACTTCAAGTTCAACACTCTATCCACTGTGGGACCTTAGAGAATAACTAATCCAACACATTCATTCATTCATTTATTCATTTATTCATTTATCCATTGATTTTTTTCCCTTCATTTATCTGAGTTAATTAATTTTTTATTAACTTAATTAATTAATATTTAATTTAATTTCTTATTTTTATTTTCAGTTCCAAATTCTCCCTCCCTACCTCCACTTCCCCCCCTACCTATTGAAAAGGCAACAAATAAAATAATAATTCTACATGCGATGTGTATGTCATATATGTGTCTTATGTATTTGCCACATATATGTATACATTTTACATACAATGTATATGTCATGCCAAACCTATCTGTGCATTAGCCACATTTCAAAGAGGGAGGGGGAGATAAGAAAAATAAAGAAGAAAAAAAAGTTTCAATCTGCACTCACAGTTGATCACTTCTCTGTCTGTAGGTGGATAGCATTTTTTATCATGAGTTCTTTGGGATTATCTTGAATCATTGTATTGGTCAGGGTGGCTAAGTCTTTCACAGTTATTAGCACTACAATATTGCTGTTATGGTGTACAATGTTTTCCTGGTTCTGCTCACTTTACTTTGCATCAGTTCATACAAGTCTTCTCAGGTTTTTCTGAAATTATTCCTCTCATCATTTCTTATAGGACAATAGTATTCCATCACAATAACATACCACAACTTGTCGAGCCATTCTCCAATTGCTGGGCATCCTCTCAGTTTCTAATTCTTTGCCACCACAAAAAGAGCTGCTGTAAATATTTTTGTATATATACATCCTTTTCCTTGTTCTTGGATCTCTTTGACATACAGACCTAGTAGTGGTGTTTTGGAGTCAAAGAATATGCACAGTTTAATTGCCCTTTGGGCATAGTTCCAAATTATTCTCCAGAATAGTTGGATCAGTTCACAACTCCACCAACAATGCAATAGTGACCTTATTTTTCACATCCCTTCCAGCATTTGTCATTTTCCTTCTCTGTCATGTTAGCCAATCTGATGCAGCCCCTTAAAGGAGAGGTAACTGAGACCCTAAGAATGGGAAATGACTTATTTACCCAAGGTCACCTTGCAAGATAGGGACAAAACTGGGATTCAACAGATTCAATCCAAGAGCATGGTACAATGAAAAGAGCATTAGCTCTGAAATTATAAGATCTGCGTTCAAATCTCTTTTCTGTTGCCTATTACCATGTGACCTTGGGCAAGTCACTGCCCTGTGCCTCCTCTTCTTTCTCTGTAAAATGAGAGGATTAGATAAGACGGCATCTGGGCTGTGATCTTACATTTCCAGCTTGGCATTCCTTGCTTTAGTTCCATATCACCCTGCTGAAATCTAGTCATTTTCACCTGCTTATAAGAGGCAGTCTAACTGGGGTAAGTGAAAGAACACTGGACTAGGAGTTGGGAGTTCTGGGTTCCAGGTTCATCTTTATCTACCTGTGTAACTTGGGAAAAGTCACGTGACCTCTTGGGGTCTTAGTATCTTCATCTACCTAATGTCCCTGTCTAGACAATCTCTAAGTTAGGCCTTTACAGCTCTAACATATTATGAATCTGTGTGAGATGAACTTGATGTTCTGACCAGCAAAGGGAAATCTGACTGTCTGTCTGTCTTGGTCCTTCAGGTGGGTCTGTAAGCACATCAAGAAGCCCATCCGATCGACTGTCCTCAGCCTGGACTGGCACCCCAACAATGTGCTGCTGGCTGCTGGCTCCTGTGACTTCAAGTGCCGGTGAGGCCACCGCTGAGGGTCCAGTTATCTGCCCCTGGCCGTGGGCACAAGGCAGGGTGGGGTCTCTGGATCTGGGATCCAGATCTGGGATGGCTGGGAGTTTTTAATCGGGATGAAGCAGATTTGTTCTCTGATGTCAGTGGATAACCTTGAAGGCCTTTTCAGAAGGAGCTTTGGAGTTAGTTTCTGTTAAAATCGGAGTTAGAAAAGTGAAAGGGGATCTACAATGTTCACTCCCCGCCCCAATTCCAAACATTTTATTTTACATACTTAAGTGCTGAGCAAATATAAGTCAGGAGGAAGAAGAAAATGTTGGGAATTGGAGTAAGATAACATGTCACCAAGGCTCCCTAATCTTTGATGCCTGACATTCCAATGTCAGAATGCGCTTCATTCTTCTAGCTTGGTCAGTCAACAAACATTTATTCAGCACTCACTGTATGCCAGGTTCTGTGCTAAGTATGGAGGCTGTAGATTAAGGCAAAAATACAGTATCTGCTCTCAAACAACTCACTTTAAATGAGGAAGACAACATGCAAATAACTCTGTACTTGCAAGATACATATATGTGTATGTATGTACATATGCGCACACACACGTTGTAAATGGAAGGTCATCTGCGAGGGAATGCACTAGAATGGAGTGGGGGTGGGGGACAGCCAGGAAAGGCTCTCTGAGCCTCTGGTAGATAAAGGCTGCGGACCCCACTGAGGGGTGTAAAACCCTCTAAGCTTAGCCTGAGTAGAGGCACATGAATAAGAAGGAAAGGAAAACACATTAGAGAAAAGGGAAGCCGGAGTTGCTAAAGACGTGTGTTGTCTCCCTTGGTTAGAGGGTAAGCTCCTTGAGGGCAGAGATAGCACAGTGCTTGGCACATAATAAGTACTGAATAAATGCTTTCCCATTCAATCATTCATTGATCTATTAAAATCTCACAAACTTCATCATTTCACATCTCATCCAAATAGGGGTATGCTGGAGCCAGCTCAAACCAGCTCTCAATAGTCAATTGTTAAATTTTCACTGTGAGAAGTTCATCTTTCAGAAGTCATCAGACTCTGTAAATTAAGAGCTTTTATTTATGGTTTTGTTGATTACCCAGATTTAAGGAAGTGACCGATGGAGAAAATGTTAATAATGCAGATTAAACTTAAAAGGGTGTCCTGGGTAATAATTTTTTTCCTGGAGAGATGATTGTTAAACATTTGCCAGCACATCGTTGAATCCAGCCCCATGGGTTTAGAAGTGAGAGAACTGAGGCACAAAGAAACAATGCTTCCCCCACCCCCCCGAAATTATTAACCTGTAGTCCATGATCTTGGTTTTTTAAAAAATATTTTAATAATTGTATTTCAATATATTTGGTTTCCTTTGTAATCCCATGTATTTTATTTTTATTCATTTAAAACCATTATTCTGTGAATGAAATTCATGGGCTTCACCAGAGGTGGGTCCGAGACACACAAAAAGATTAAGAATCCCTGGCTGAGTCTGATTTTGCTTGGATATAAATGCTAGGGGCTGGAAGATACTCAGAGTGCTTTGTCCAACCCCTCCATCCCCCATCCCTCCACAGTAGGCTGTATCTGGGAGAGCTAAAAAGGGCCATGCTGCTGTCCGCCCAGGCTCCTCTCTCCCTCCGTCCCCACAAGACCTTCTTACTCACTTGGGCTCTCCTTCCCTTCTCCTCTCCCAGAATCTTCTCAGCCTATATCAAGGAGGTGGAAGAGAGACCCTCACCCACCCCATGGGGCTCCAAAATGCCCTTTGGAGAGCTGATGTTTGAGTCCAGCAGCAGCTGCGGCTGGGTTCACAGCGTCTGCCTCTCCGACAGCGGGAACCGCATGGCCTGGGTGAGCCACGACAGCACCGTGTGCCTGGCTGATGCCAACAAGAAGATGGCGTAAGTGGAAGCCTGCAGATGCAGCTGTGCAGTGGGGACAGCCCACTCCATCCCCTTGGAGAGACTGATGGATGGATGGTGGAACCCAGGCCCCAGAGTCCAAGACTAAACCTGTCTCTGTAGAAGAGCCCCTTTTGACAAAATTCCCAACATCTCACCATCCATCCTCTGCTTGGAGACTTGTTTTTGTCTGCCTCTTCAGGCAGCCCTTTCCATTGTGGGATGGGACAGGTTTGCTTTTACAGGGTGTACCAAAAGTCTTAGTGCAGATGGAAGCTTTAATAGCTCAAAGTTGTAATACCTCCCCGCCCCCCTTTTTTGTAATTTTTAAAAAAAATTTTACACTTAAATACAAAGTGAGGAAAAAAACCATTGCCATGTGCGCAGCAGACCATAAAAGAGTATTCAATGTAAAACAACAAATTTCCCTTTCAAGAAAACCTATATAATAATTGCTATGCATTGTTTTCAAAGTTGCCCATCTTTTCTTTGCTTCCTTGTTGGTTTTATTTTGTTCTCTGCTGTGCACTTTTTAACTTTTTTCCCCCTCCCCATCAAGAAGGCTACAATTAAGCTACTTTATATATATATGTATATATGTATGTATATGTACACATACACATAATACACATGTACACTCATACACACATCTGTAAGACCATACCATGCTTATTTCCACCTGTCTTCTGTTCGTCTGAAGGTGGATAGCATCTTCCTTCATAAGTCCATATCTTTTCCTGTTTTTCTAAATCAACCAGCTCATCATTTCCTACACCACAGCAATATTCCTTTCTGGATTCAAATAGCATCTTCCTTCATAGGATCTTTGAGATTCATTTGAGTATTTACAATAGTCAGAATGACTTGGTTGCTCAGAGTTACTCTTTTTTTTTTTTTACTTATTCATTTTCATGAATTTATTTTGATTTTTCAACAATCACTCCCATAAGCTTTTTAGTTTTAAAATTTTCTCCCCCTCCTTTCCCTCCTCCCTCCCCAAGATGGCACGCAATCTGATATAGGCCATACATATACATTCCTATTAAACATATTTTCACATTAATGGTTGTAAGTAAGAATTAGAACCAAAAGGAGGAACCCCAAGAAAGAGGAAACAAAACACAACAAAAGAAAAAAGAATAGCAAATAGTATGCTTTGATCTGCATTCAAACCCCATAGTTCTTTCTTTGGGTGTGGATAGCATTTTCCATCACGAGGCCTTTGGAGATGTCTTAGATCCTTGTATTGCTGAGAAGGGTTCAGTCTATCAATATTAGTCATCACACAATGTGGCTGTCACTGTGTACAACGTTTTCCTGGTTCTGCTCACTTCACTCAGCATCAGTCCATACAAGTCTTTCCAGGTTTTTCTGAAGTCTGCCTGATTATCATTTCCTATACTACTGTATACACTCATATACCACAACTTGTTCAGCCATTCCCCAATTGATGGGCATCCCCTCAATTTCCAATTCTTTGCCACCACAAAAGAGCTGCTATGAATATTTTTGTACATGTGGGTCCTTTTTCTGTTTGTATGATCTTTTTGGGATATAGCCCTAGAAGTGCTATTGCTGGGTCAAAGGGTATGCACATTTTTATAGCCCTTAGGACATAGTTCCAAATTACTCTCTAAAATGGTTGGATCGTTTCACAACTCCATCAAGAATGCATTAGTGTTCCAATTTTCCTATGTCTTCTCCAACATTTATCATTTTCCTGTTTCATCATGTTGGCCAATCTGATAGGTGTGATGTGGTACCTCAGAGTTGTTTTGATTCGCATTTCTCTAATCAGTAGTGATTTAGAGCATTTTTTCATATGACTATAGATGGCTTTAATTTCTTCATCTGAGAATTGCCTGTTCATATCCTTTGACCATTTATCAATTGGGGAATGACTTGTATTCTTATAAATTTGACTTAATTCTCTATATATTTTAGAAATGAGGCCCTTACTAGAGATACTGGTTGTAAAAATTCTTTCCCAATTTTCTACTTTCCTTCTAATCTTGGTTACATTGGCTTTGTTTGTGCAAAAACTTTTCAATTTAATGTAATCAAACTGATCCATTTTGCATTTCATAATGTTCTCTATCTCCTGTTTGGTCATGAATTCTTCTGTTCTCCATAAATCTGATAGGTAAACTACTCCTTGCTCTCCCAGTTTGTTTATATTATCAACCTTTATATCTAAATCATGAACCCATTTTGACTTTATTTTGGCATATGGTGTGAGATTTTGGTCTATACCTATTTTCTGCCATATTCTTTTCCAGCTTTCCCAACAGTTTTTGTCAAATAGTGAATTCTTATCTCAGAAGCTGGGGTCTTTGGGTTTATCAAATAGTAGATTAGTATAGTTATCGACTAATGTGTCTTGCATACCTAACCTATTCCACTGATCCACCACTCTACTGCTTAGCCAGTACCAAGTAGTTTTGATGATTGCTGCTTTATAATATAATTTGAGATCTGGAACAGCTAGGCCACCTTCCCCTGCATTTCTTTTCATTCGTTCCCTTGATATTCTGGACCTTTTGTTATTCCAAATGATTCTTGTTATTATTTTTTCTAGCTCTATAAAATAATTTTTTGGTATTTTGATTGGTATGGCACTGAATAAGTAATTTAGTTTAGGTAGAATTGTCATTTTTATTATATTAGCTTGACCTACCCATGAGCAACTGATGTTTTTCCAATTATTTAGATCTGACTTTATTTGTGTGGAAAGTGTTTTGTAATTGTGTTCATATAGTTCCTGGGTTTGTTTCGGTAGGTAGACTCCTAAGTACTTTATAATCTCTACAGTAACTTTCAATGGAATTTCTCTTTCTCTCGCTGTTGGGCTTTGTTGGTAATACATAGAAATGCCGATGATTTATGTGGGTTTATTTTATAGCCTGCAAGTTTGCTAAAGTTGTTTATTATTTCAAGTAGTTTTTTTTACTTGATTCTCTACAATTCTCTAAGTATATCATCATATTATCTGCAAAGAGTGATAGTTTTGTTTCTTTGTCTATTCTAATACCTTCAGTTTCTTTTTCTTCTCTTATTACTAAAGCTAACATTTTCAATACTATATTGAACAACAGTGGTGATAATGGATATCCTTGTTTCACCACCGATCTTACTGGAAATGCTTCTAGCTTGTCCCTGTTACACATGATTCTTGCTGAAGGTTTTAGGTAGATGCTACTTATTATTTTAAGGAGGACTCCATTTATTCCTTTGTTCTTTAGTGTTGTTTAGGAATGGGTGTTGTATTTTGTCAAAAGCTTTTTCTGCATCTGTTGAGATGATCATGTGGTTTCTGTTAGTTTTGTTGTTGATATGATCAATTATGCTAATAGTTTTCCTAATATTGAACCAGCCCTGCATTCCTGGTATAAATCCTACCTGATCATAGTGTATTATTCTTATGATAGGTTGCTGTAATCTATTTGCTAATATTTTATTTAAAATTGTTGCATCTAAATTCAGTAGGGAAGTTGGTCTAATAATTTTCTTTCTCTGTTTTGACTCTTTTCAGTTTAGGTATCAACACCATATTTGTATCATAAAAAGCATTTGTTAAGACTCCTTCTTCAGCTATTTTCCCAAATAGTCTATATAATATTGGAATTAATTGTTCTTTAAATGTTTGATAGAATTTGCTTGTAAATCCATCTGGCCCTGAAGATTTTTTCCTAGGGAGTTCATCAATGGCTTGTTCAATTTTTTTTTTCTGAGATGAGGTTATTTAAGTATTTTACTTCCTCTTCTGTTAATCTGGGCAATTTATATTTTTGTAAATATTCATCTATTTCACTAAGATTGTCAAATTTATTGGCATATAGTTGGCCAAAATAATTCCTAATTATTGTTTTAATTTCCTCTTCTTTGGTAGTGGATTCACCCTTTTCAGTTTTTATACTGGTAATTTGGTTTTCTTCTTTCTTTTTTTAAATTATATTAGCCAAAGGTTTATCTATTTTATTGTTTTTTTCCCATAAAACTAGCTCTTAGTTTTATTTATTAGTACAATAGTTTTCTTAATTTCAATTTTATTAATTTCTCCTTTGGTTTTCAGTATTTCCAATTTGGTGTTTAATTGAGGATTTTTAATTTGTTCTTTTTCTAGTTTTTTTAGTTGTGTGCCCAATTCATTGGATCTCCTCTTTCTCTATTTTATTCATATAAGCATTTAGAGATATAAAACTTCCCCTAAGAACTGCTTTCGTTGCATCCCATAAGTTTTGGTATGTTGTCTCATTATTGTTATTCTCTTGAATGAAGTTATTGATTGTTTCTATGATTTGTTGTTTGACCCATTCATTTTTTAAAATTAGATTATTTAGTTTCCAATTAATTTTTGGTCTATGTTTCTATGGCCCTTTATTACATATAATTTTGTTTGTTCGTTTGTTTGTTTGTTTTGCTAGACAATGGGATTAAGTGACTTTCCCAGGGTCACACAACTAGTGAGTGTTATGTGTCTGAGGCCAGATTTGAACTCAGGTCCTCCTAACTCCAGGGTCAGTGCTCTATCCACTGTGCCACCCAGCTGCTCCTATTACATATAATTTTTATTGCATCATGATCTGAAAAGGATGTATTTAATACTTCTGCCTTTCTGCATTGGATTTGAGGTTTTTATGCCCTAGTACATGGTTAATTTTTGTGTATGTGCTATGTACCACCGAGAAAAAAGTATATTCCTTTCTATCTCCATTCAATTTTCTCCAGAGGTCTAATTAGCATACCTAACTTTTCTAAAATTCTATTCACCTCCTTAACTTCTTTCTTATTTATTTTGTGGTTAGATTTATCTAGTTCAGAGAGGGGGAGGTTGAGGTCCCCCACTAGTATAGTTTTGCTGTCTATTTCTTCCTGTAACTCCCTGAACTTCTCCTCTAAGAATTTGGAGGCTATGCTATTTGGTGCATATATGTTTAGTAATATTACTTCATTGTCTATGGTGCCTTTTAGCAGGATATAGTTTCCTTCCTTATCTCTTTTGATAAGATCTATTTTTGCTTTTGCTTTATCTGAGATCAGGATTGCTGCTCCTTTTTTTTCCTTCAGCTGAAACATAATATATTCTACTTTTACCTTTTACCTTTACCCTGTATGTGTCCCTCTGTTTCAAATATGTTTCCTGTAAACAACATAATGTAGGATTATGGTTTTTAATCCATTCTGCTATCCGCTTCCATTTTATGGGAGAGTTCATCCCATTCACATTCACAGTTCTGATTACTATCTGTGTCTTTCTCTCCATCCTATTTCCCCCATGTTTATGCTTTTCTTTCTCCTTTTCCCTCCTCACTAGTGTTTTGCTTTTGACTACCACCTCCCTTCTATTAGCCCCCTCCCTTTTCTCCTCCTTTACCCTTACTACTTCTTCCCTCCCTTCTATCCCCCCTCCCTTTTCTTCCCTCTTTTCCCTCCTACTGCCTATAGGGCAAGTTAGATTTCTATACCTAACTGATTACTGTTATTTCCTCCTTGAGCTGAATCTGATGAGAGTAAGGTTCAAACAATGTTCATCTCCCTCCCTTCTTTTCCTCTACTGTGGTTTTTGTGCCTTTTTCTGTAACATAATTTACCCTTGTCTGCCTCCTCCTTTCCTTTTCTCCCAGTACATTCCCTTAGTTAGATTAGATTAATCCACTTACTTAGATTCATTTAACCCATTTGATTAGATTTTTTTTATCATTACATCAAAGTCAACTTATACCCACTCCCTCTATGTATACTCCTTTAAAGTGGTGTAATAACAATACAGTTCTCAAGACTTACAAGTGTCATCTTCCCTTGTAGGGATGTAAACAGTTTGCCCTTATTAATATCATGTTGTTGTTTTTTTCTGTCTCATTTACCTTTTTATGTCTCTAGAGTCTTGTATTTGAAGATCAAATTTTTTATTGAGCTCTGGTCTTTTCTTTAGGAAGTTTTGGAAGTCCCCTATTTTGTTGAATCTCCTCCCCTGAAAGATTATGCTGATTTTCACTGGGTAGTTGGTCCTTGGTTGCAATCCAAGCTCCTTTGCCTTATGGAGTATCGCCCTACGATCTTTTAATGTAGACACTGCAAGGTCCTGCGTAAACCTGACTGTAGTTTCCTGATATTTAAGTTATTTCTTTCTGGCTGCTTGCAGTATTTTCTCTTTGACCTGGTAATTTTGAGATTTGGCTACTATATTCCTTGGTGTTTTCAATTTGGGATCTCTTTCAGGAGGTGATAGGTGGATTCTTTCTATAGCTGTTTTACCCTCTGGTTCTAGGACCTCAGGGCAGTTTTCCTTAATGATTTCCTGAAAGATGCTGTCCACGCTCTTTTTTTCATCATGGTTTTCAGGTAGATCAATAATTTTTAAATTTTCTCTCCTGGATCGATTTTCCAGGTCAGTTGTTCTGCCAATGAGGTATTTTACATTTTCATCTATTTTTTCATTCTTTTGTCTCTGATTGATTCTCGCTCTCCCACAGAGTCATTAGCTTCCACTTGCCCAATTCTAATTTTTAACAAATTGTTTTCTTCTTTTAGATTTTGTACTTCCTTCTCCATTTGGCCAATTGTATTTTTTAGGGACTTGTTTTCTACAGTTAATTTTTATCCTTCCTTTTCCAAGCTATTGACTCTCTCTTGCATACCTCTCATTTCTTTTCCCAATTTTTCTTCTACCCCTCTTATTTTACTTTTAAAATCCTTTTTGAGTTCTTCCAAGAAGGTTTTTTGGGCTTCAGACCAGTTTATATTTCCTTTTGAGGTTTCAGATGTGGGTTTGTTGACAATGTTGTCCTCTTCAGAATTTCTGCCTTGATCTTCACTCTTCCCATAATAAGAATCTATCGTACATTTCTTTTTGCTCATGGTGTTTGCTTATTTCCTGACCCTTAAAAAGGTTGCGCTCTTCTGTTGGGGAGCAGGGGGCACTGACCCAAGCTTCTTGTGTTGGGAGCCTGGGGCCTGATCACTGGCTTTGTGTGCTGGGGCCTCCAATGCTGGCAGTTGAAGGCTGCAGGGTTCTGGCAGCTTACCTGGTGTTGGGCTGGAATCAGCAACCCTGGAACTCTAGGGGTAGGATTGGGTAGTCTGGCCCCTGGAGGTTGCCTACTCATCTGGGCCTTTTCTTTCCCTTCTTTCTCTTTCTTTGGCTCCTTGAAGATGGATGTTTCTCTGCCTAGGGGGAACCCTTGCAGCACTTCCCAGAGTTTTGCTGAGACACTGGGAAGCTTGGTTGCTATAGAATGCTGAGGCACATGGTGGTTTTTTGAGCTGGTTTCCACTGGTTCTCCTGCCCTTACTGAGGCACTCGGGGGTCCTGGTGCTGGTGTTTGCCTGATCCACTACTTGGGATTCAGGATCTCCCCCTGGTATGCTGAGGTGGGGCTTTTCACTAGCTTGCTGGGACGCCTCCCATTCTGTACTGCTCCCCTTCCCCCAGGGCAAGAGGGGTCTTTCCCATGAATCCCTCAAGCTACCTGGGCTACTGCACTGCTGCACCCTGTCTTTCTGCTGGTTCAGCTATTCCAGGGTTTTTCCTGGGGCGATATTTTCTGGGCTTTTGGAGGTTAATAAGGGACAGTGAGAGAGACTTACTTCTTACTCTGCCATCTTGGCTCCTGGAAGCAGAACTCCAGAGTTATTTTTAAAAGGATACTGTTATTACTGTATATAGTGTTCTCTTGGTTCTGCTCATTTCGCTCTTCCTTATTTCATGGAGGTCTCTTCATGCTTTTCTAATATCAATGAGCTCATCATTTCTTTTTTTGTTTGTTTTTTTTAGGCAATTGGGGTTAAGTGACTTGCCCAGGGTCACAAATGTTTGGTCTGAGGCTGGATTTGAACTCAGGTCCTCCTGACTTCAGGGCTGGTCCTCTATCCACTGCGCCACCTAGCTGCCCCTCATCATTTCTCATAGCAGTGTAATAGCTATTTAAGTTTCAATAACTTCTGAGCTTTAACAGCTTAAAACTTCACTAAGGCTTTGGAGACCTGTCTATGAAGGCTGAAATCTGCCTCTCTGAAACTTCTACCTTGTGCATGGAATTCTGGGCCAAGGGGCCAAACAGTCCAGTCCCTCTTCCTTGTGAAAGGAAGGAAGGCTTGCAAATATTTGAAGCAATTATGTGTTTCTGAAGACTTCTCTTCTTTAGCTTAGACATCTCCAGGCCATTCAGCTGGTCCTATTGTGGAATTTCAAGTGTAATTTTAATCTCACTCTGTGGGTTTCCTTCCCTTAGGTATACTAATTTGTCAATATCCTTTCCAAAATGTCATGGCCAGAAGTGACCTCCATATTCCAGATGTGGTCTGACTAGAGCAGATTCTGATGTCTCTGGATCTGGGCACTATGCCTCTTAATGTAGCCAAAGATTTTTGGTTTGCTTGCCATGTTGATAGACTGAATTAGCAATCTACAAGACCATCACAACTAGGTGGTGCAGTGGATAGAGCATGGGCCTGGAGCCAGGAAGACTCATCTGTCTGAATTCAAATCTGGCCTCAGACACTTGTTAGCTGTATAACCCTGGGTGAGTCACTTAACCTTGTTTGCCTCAGTTCCTATTATAAAATAAGCTGGAGAAGGAAATGGCAAACCACTCCAGTATCTTTGCCAAGAAAGCCCCAGATGGGGTCATGGAGAGCCAGAAACAACTGGAAAACTAACTTTTAACAAGAGCATCATATCTTTTTTACCTGAACTGTTATCTAGGCACACCTCCCTTATCTTGTACTGTGCTATCGGTTTTCTGAATGCCTGGGGCTTCATATTTATTCCTATGAAATGTTTATTATGAGATGTGACCCATCATTCCAGCTTGTTGAATTTCTGCACATTCTTATTCTGTCAGTCCCATGCTGTTTTTTGTTTTTTTTGTCCTATTCTCTGCTTGCCAGCATGCAGTGTTGTGATTATTTTTCTTCTTCTTCTTCTCATCCCCCATATCAGGGAAGTGCTCAAATGGTTAGATTGTCACACATTCTTGAAGTACTCCAAACCTGCAAAAGCCCTCCATTCCTCATCCATCCTCACCACATCCCTGATGTCTGGGGTGGGGGGATTGGTCATGACCCTGACTGTATAGATAGGAAAATGGATGCCGGCAGTGCTGATGGAGTAGGGCCGCATGTGACACCTCTGCTCTCTTCCTCCCCAGTGTGGCCTCCCTGGCCTCGGAGACCCTGCCTCTCCTGGCACTCACCTTCATCACTGAAAACAGCCTTGTGGCAGCGGTAAGCAAGAATAATTCCATTATTTTACAGTGTTCCTTCTTCTTGGAATTTGTGATTATTTTCATTTAAATAGATGCATTTCAGTCACTCTCTCTGAGTCTCCATCAGGGTTATTTCTTTGTCCAATCACTTTTTCTTTTATAGGACACTCTATTTATCTGGTTTTCTCCCCCCCACCCCCTTTTATTCCTATTATTTCACAAGAAATCCATGTTGATTTTTATTCCTCAGACCAATTAATCTTAATTACATTATAATATTTATTTCTATTTATTTAACTGTTTTTCTATGGGAGATAGCAAGGTGGCACAGTGGAGAGAGTGCTGGGCTTGGAGCAAGGAAGACTCAAGTTTAAATCCAACCTCAGATGCTTATTAACTCTGTGATCCTGGGCAAGTCATTTAACCTTTCCTTGCCTCAGTTTTCTCAACCATAAAATGTGGATAATAACAGCACCTACCTCCCAGGGTCATTGTGAGAATCAAATGAGATAGTATTTGTAAAGGGCTTTGCAGGATCTGGTACACAGTAGGCATATAATAAATGCTTGTTTCCTTCCTTCCCTTTGTTGGCTGTTTAAGTTGTTTCCAGTTTTTTTTTTTTAATAGTTACAACTAAGGATGCTATGAGTATCTTTGAACATACAGCTCTTTTTTTTAGTTATTGATGATACTTGCCCCCATTTAATAGTATTTTATTTCTTCCAATTATATGTAAAGATAGCTTTCAACATTCACTTTTATAAGATTCCAATTTTTCTTCTCCTCCCCTCCCCAAGATAGCAAGCAATCTAATATAACTTATACATGTATAATCATATTAAACATATTTCTACATTAGTCTTGATGACATTTTCAAGGCATATTTCCATTAATTACTGGAATTAATTAGTTATTAGAGTGAACATGAATATTTTTGTAACTTTTACTATACATTGCTTTCTAAGGGGATTTTCCTAGTTTGTAGTTCCACCAATGGTGTATAGGTATATATATTTCTCTGTAGTCCTGCCAGAATTGAATTTCATTGTTTTTAATTATTATTATTTTTTGCCAATTTGATGAATGTGTAGCTCCCATTTCAATATTGCTTTAAGACTGACAGAATGTTTTCCCTCACAACAACCACTGTGAGATAGGAAGCTCAAGTATTATTTCAGGGCAGCTTAGTATAGCAGAGCAAGCCTAGACTTTTAAAGGTAGAGATCTTAGAAGTCTGCCTTTGTATCTTTGCTCTAGCATTTATTAACTGTGTCATCATAAACTAACTGAAGTCTTAGTTTCCTCACCTGTGAAATGGGATAATGATATGTGTACTATTTATCTATCTGTCAATCAACTAGGCCTTGTGCTAGGCACTGGGGAGACAAAGACAGAATATGGAAAAATCCCTGCTCTCAAGGAAATTATCTTCCAATGGGGAGATAACATTAATTCTATGACCTTTGCTTTCTCTTATGGCTTCCTAAATTAAATTGTGCACATTTTTTAAAAATCAGACCAAGTCAGGAAACCCCTTCTGCTAATGTGCATTGGTATTGCTTGGCAATTTGTATTTGTAAAGAGTTGCCTGAGGACACTGAAATGTTAAGGGACTTACCCAGTGTCACACACCCAGCATCTATCAGGGTTAGGACTTGAACTCAGTTAAGACTTAGATCAGTTCTCTATCCATTATGGCACGCTTTCTTTCCAGCCCACATTTATATGCTTTATGCAGTGGATGGAATGCTGGCCTTGGCATCAGGAAGACCCGAGTTCAGATCTGGCCTCAGACACTTCCTAGCTGTGTGACCCTGGGCAAGTCACTTAACCCTGCTTGCCTCAGTTTCCTCATCTGTAAAATGGGCTGGAGAAGGAAATGGCAAACTGCTCCAGTATCTCTGCCAAGAAAACCCCAAGTGGGGTCACAAAGAGTCAGACACAACTGAAATGACTGAACAAACAGTTTAGAAGGCACTTCCCATGTAATAACCCTCTGAAATGGGTAGGATAAGTGTCATTATTCCCATTTTACAAATGAGGAAACTGAGGTTCAGAGTCATGGAGCTAGCAAGGGGCAGAGCTGGCTCTGGAGCTATTCTCCAAATCCAAGGCTCTTTTCACCATGTGCCAATGCTTCTCCCTCTACCAACTACTAACTCTGGCTTTCTCCTCCCCCAGGGACATGACTGCTTCCCCATGCTCTTTACCTATGAGGGGGGATCCGGGGTGCTGAGCTTCGGAGGGCGGCTCGATGTGCCCAAGCAGAATTCTCAGCGCGGCATGACTGCCCGGGAACGCTTCCAGAGCCTGGACAAGCGGGCCAGTTCTGATACTTCTGCCGGCCTGGACACGCTGCACAAGAACAGTGTCAGGTATAGGGATGGTCCAGCACTGGGGTGGAAGGGTGGGGTCACTTAGAGGGAACATGGCTGAACATGGAGTTGGGGCTAACGCTGGAGAAGCAGGGATGGTCCAGATGTGGGATGGGTTCTAGGTGCAGAAGATGGGGGTGAGTGCTCTGCAGAGTTGGGCAGGGAGGTTGGTACTGGGCCCTAGGGAATAAGTAGGGTTCCTTTGGTAATCAATCAAGTATTGAGTTCAGGGTACTTGGGAATTCACAATACAAGACGCGTCCCTGCCTTCCTGAAGCTCTCAGTCTATAAGCTTAGTGGGGTGGATTAAGGCCATCCATGGTTTTCAGTAGTGGGCTATATGATCAGAAATCCATACAAATCCTGACCCCATTAATTTTTGTGAATTAATCATAAGAGGTCAAATAGAACCTGATAGCTGTTTAAATATATGCATTTTGTTAGTTTTTGGTCTTATTTTAAACAAGAACATAGTGAAGAGAGCAGAGACAGGAAGACTTGGGTCCAGTTGTGCCTCTGATGCTTCCTAGCTGTGTGATCACTAACGACTTAATTGACTTCTTGGTGCCCCTGGGCAGCCCTCAGAATGATAAGCTACAAAGAGTTGTAGATTCACCAAGGGAGTTCCTGAAATGGCTCAAATCATAGGTCTTGCCTAAAAAAAATTATAAAAGCATTTCAAAATGTGGTTTATTCAACTTTCTTCTTACAAAAATGCCATGTTCTAGGTCTGGTACTAATAATGGACCAATTCGGGTTCAGTCAATAGGAATACTGGTGTTAAATAGACCATAGGATCATAGATATAGAGTTGGAAGGCACCTTTAAGGTTACCAAGTCCGACTCATTTAACAGATGCAAAAACTGAGGCTCAGAGAGTCTTGTTGTTGTTCAGTTGGTTTTCAGTCGTGTCCAACTCTCTGTGACCCCACTTGGGGTTATCTTGGCAAAGATACTGGAGTGGTTGGTTATTTTCTTCTCCAGTGGATTCAGGGGAACCATTTTGTCAGGCAATCAGAGGTTAAGTGACTTGCCCAGGGTCACAAAGCTAGCAAGTTTGAGAGGTCAATGATTTCTTAATAAAGTATCTGAGGCAGGATTTGAGTCTAGGTGACCTGGAGAACCCAGTAGGAGTATTTTCCCAGGATGTATCTGTTGGGTTCCTGCCCTGAAGTCTCTGAGGGTCCCACCAGACCCTTAACAGGAAGAACAGGAAGTTCAATGAATTTAAGGCAACTGCTGAGCGGAGGCTGGGGCAGCTCAGTGGGATGGGGAGCACAGGGAGGGAGGAAGACAACATGTGTGTGAGCCTGGGAGGAAAAAGAAACTTCGAGCTCAGGGAGGGTCACCTGTTCTGGGGCCGGTGTGCAGAATGCCATGACAGGGCAGAATTGTCCTCAACTCTATTCATTCTCCTTTGCAGTCAGATCTCTGTACTCAGTGGGGGGAAAGCCAAATGCTCCCAGTTCTGCACCACCGGCATGGATGGAGGGATGAGCATCTGGGATGTGAAGGTGAGTCCAGGATCAACTAGGCATGGCCAAATGGCAGCTTGGAATTTCTCAGTCCCTGCAATCCCCCCAAACACACTCCATCCAGAGAACATCAGGCTACATGGGCCACAGCTGGAATTTCTGGTTGTCGTTTTGGGTTCATTTCACAAGACCCGGAAAACCCAGAGTTTCTTCCCTTTAAAGCTTCCTTGGTTTGGATGGCTGGTGGGAGAGCTAACTAGAAAGAGTGGAGAAGCTAGGTACTGAGAGAGATGTCCCTTGGATTAGGGCTGAGCTGATGGGGCTCCTGGGGATTTGGAGGAGTCATCTAGGTTTGTTTTTGCCCCCACTAAGTTTAGCTCTTCTGAGAACCCTCACTGAAAGGAGGGTTTGGGTATGTACCTCAATGATTGGTCCCAAGCAAGTAATCAGTGCTGGTCACATAATAATAGCTGACATTTACATAGAGCTTTAAGGTTTGTGAAGTATTTTTTGTACATTATCTCATTTGCTCCTCAGAATAATCTTGTGAGGCGTGTGCTATTATCATCCCTATTTTACAGATGAAGAAACTGAGTCTCAGACCTTAAATTTCTTGTCCTGGCTCACACAACCAATAAGGGTTTAGGCAATGTCAGAAGAAGGAAAAGGATGTTGTGAGAGCACCAAGTAAATTTTGTTGGGGCCAATCCTGAGTGTGGTTATGTATTAGGGCTGCTATAACCACTAATCTTGTTTGTCAGACAAGGAGCTTTAGTACTGAAATTTGGTCTATCCTATGCTTTTGATTTTTTTTTCCCTGTTTATTTTTTTTTAATTTGCATTTTATATAGTACCTACTATGTGCCAGGCTCTCATTTGTACAACCCTGGGAGGTAGATGCTATTATGATTTCCATTTGAAAGGTGAGGAAACTGAGGCAGGCAGAGATTAAGTGACCTGCCCAAGGTCATACAGCTAATAAGTGTCTGAAGCTGGATCTGAACTTGGGTCTTCTGGATTTCAGGCTCAGCACTCTATCCAACTGTACAACTCAGCTGTGTCCCTCTAGCCCAGGGCCAGCTTCTCCTCCCCACCTCCCTAGCCCCCTAGCTCCGGGATGGCAGTGTGACAAGGGATGTCCAGCGATGTGAGGACTAACCCCATCTCTCTTTTCCTATTTCAGAGCTTGGAGTCAGCCCTGAAAGATCTCAAGATCAAATGAGCCAGATCCTGACAGGAAGGTGGTTTTCCCACCTTTCCCAGGAGCAGGAGGGCCCTAGGCTGCCAGGCATGCTCAAGGATGCCAGCTTTGCTTCTCCTTTCCTTTTGCAAACCTGACTTCATCACAGCCCAGACTGACTGGGCAACCCCACCCTTACCTCTGCAGAGGTCCCTGGGGAGAGTCAGGGGTACTTTCTTCTTAAATGTCCAGGGAAAATACCCTCGACATAAATGCTTTCTTTTATATGTATATTTAAAACAGAACTATGCTGGTCATAAGCTGCTTCAAGACGAGAGAATAAAAATGGAAACTGAGTGCCTCTGTTTCTTTCATTTGCCATAATAGAATAAGCACAGCACTGGCCTGGGGAGTCAGAGGCTCTGGGTTCAAGTCTTGGCTTGGTTGCTTATCCAGCTAGGTAACCTTGGGCAAGTCACTTTACAGAATCATGGGGCCATAGATTCATTGCTGCAAGGACCTCAGAAGTCATCTAGGCCAACCCCTCTCCCCCACCCTGATTTTACAGAGGAGGAAACTGAGACCCAGAGAGTAAGTAATTTGCCCAAGGTCACATGGGTAGAGCCCAGATTCAAACCTACATCCCAATCAAGTACTCCTTCCATTGTAAACATGCTGCCCCAATCATCTGAAAGGGTTGGACTAGATTATCTCTGAAGTCTTTTTTGGGGGGGGGGAGGCAATTGGGGTTAAGTGACTTGCCCATGGTCACACAGCTACTAAGTGTCTGAGGCTGAATTTGAACTCAAGTTTTTCTGACCCAAGGGCCTGTGCTCTATCCACTGTGCCACCTAGCTGCCCCTAAGTGTCTCTTAACGTTAATATTATTTGATTTTGAGGGTTTGGTACATTTTATCTCTGAGCTGGTGGCTTAATGTACATTTGGTCGTATAGGGGGCTAAGGTCCCCTCCAGGTCGTATATTGGTTTAGTTTTTCAATGTAATATTACCTATGTTTTATTGTGTTTTTATTTATTTTGTTAAATATTTCCCATTTTTAATCTAGTTCTCAGAGCACTGGTAGTCTTGTGGCCACCTGGGGCATGCAGGCTGTATACTGGACACCTCTGGGTTAGGGGGCTCCAGGTAGGGGATTAGTTGACAAAGCACTAAAAGTAAGGGCCTGTGGGAATGGGCCAGAGATGGGGTGTTTAGGACCTGGGTTCAAATCTTTATTTTGGTATTCACTACCTAAGAGCAGCTAGATGGCACAGTGGATAGTGTTGGGCCTGGAGTCAGGAAGACATCTTCATGAGTTCAAATCCAGCCTCAGACACTTACTAGCTGTGTGACCCTGGGCAAGTCACTTAACCCTGTTTGATCAGTTTCCTCATTTGTAAAATGAGCTGGAGAAGGAAGTGGCAAACCACTCCAGTATCTTTGCCAAGAAAATCCCAGATGGGGTCATGAAGAGTCGAACACAAGTGAACAACAGCTGTGTGATCTTGGGCAAGATAGCTCACCTCCCTGGACCTCAGTTTCCTCATCTGTAAAATGAGGGGATTAGACCAGGTGGCATCTTCAGAGCATTCCAGCTCTCAAGCTATGATTCCACGATTTGGCCCCGCTGGTCAAGTTCAGGCCTAATTCTATCTATTGTAATAGTCTAAAAGGTTTCCCAGGCTTTCCCCTCTCCATTTCCTTCTTTGTGCCTCTGCCACAGCAATCTTCCTAATGCACAGTGCTGACTAGGTAACTCCTGGCTCACCATCATCTAGAAGTAACAAACTTTTTAGCCTGGCATTTAAAGATCTCCACAACAGAGGTGTGAAACATGGCCCAAAGGCCATGTGCAGCCCACATCATTCCCAAGTTCAGCTTCAGCCAGATTCAAATCTATTTGGGGAGCAGCTAGGTGGCCCGGTGGATGGAGCACAGGCTGTGGAGACAGGAGGACCTAAATTTAAATCCAGCCTCAAACACTTAGTAGCTGTGTGACCCTGGGCAAGTCACTTAACCTCATTGCCTCAAAAATACAATATTGGGGAAATATTTAACAAAAGAAATAAATACAGTAGAACACAGATAATGTTACTATATAGTTTTCTATGTCAATGTGGCCTGCAGGGATTCTTCCTTATGGTTTAGTGGCCCAGTTTCTATTTGCCTTTGACCCCCTACTCTATAAGCTGGCTCTGGATACCCTTTCCAGCCTCATGTCCCTTGCATTCCTGGCCCTGACCTGGCCCTCCTGCTAGCTCCCTACTGACCTCCCAGGGCACTCCTTTGCATCAATGCTGGCATGCCCCAGGCTTGGAACACACTCTCTCCCTCTTCTCCCATGGGAATCCTTCAGAGGTGCAGCTCCAGGGCCAGCTTCGACTTGAAGTTTCCTGGGGCCATAGTATGCCCTCTCCTGCCTCAAGTGGTCCTAGAGTTCTCGGTGCGGATTGCTCCTTTGTCCCATTCCATTCCACCTTGCATCTTACTTGTATACTGTGGCACCTGCCCTGTTAGATTGTAGGCTTCTTGAAGGAGGGACTGTGATTTTCCATCTCGGATTTCCAGGGCCTCACAGGCAGCATCACATAGCCAATAGAGAGCTGAGTCGAGGAGACCTCGGTTCAAGTCTACCTTATGCAAATACTAGCTGTGTGACCCTGGGTAAGTTATTTCTCAGTGCCCCAGACAACTTTCTTTTTTTTTTTTCTTTTCTTTTTTTGTAGGTAAAGGAGTTAAGTGACTTGTCACACAGCTAGTGTCAAGTGTCCCAGACAACTTTCTAAGCAGAAGTTGCAGAGGTGCTGACAGTATTGATAAAGCAGCTCCCTACATTGAATAATAATAATAATAATACTAAATAACATAATACCAACTATGTGCCAGGCAGTGTACTAAGCTTTATAAATCTCATTTGGTCCTCACAACAACGTTGGGAGGTAGGTGTTATTAATATCTCCATTTTACAGATAAGGAAACTAAGGCAGAGGTTAAGTGACTTGCCCAAGGTCACACAGATAGTGTCTGAAGCTGGATTTGAGCTCAGGTCTTCCTGACTCAATGTCCACACTCCTATCCACTGTTGTAATAAAAAATATGTTTCCAGTGCCTAGAACAGGGTCTTTGACATCGTAGACCCCTCATGAGACAGCCACCATCACTAGAAATGTGACTTTTGCCAGATGCGGTATTTCCCTCCCAGCAGCCAGATTTTCCGATCCAGAGACTTATCTGGAGGTTCCAGTGGCTCTGGATCTTAGCTCTGTAAAATTTGCTGACTTAAAAATTAGCATTGATTAGGGACAAATCTGTGTGCCCTAATCTGCCAGGCTTAAGTCTAGTTAGGCTTCCTGCTTCTTCGGGACCTGTAGTCTTGAGGAAGGGATGACACTGGGCTGAGGCCATGACTCACAGATGGATCTGGAAGCTCCCGCTCTCTGGAGAGAAAAAATTTGGAACCCTGCTAGAGACAAATTAGAGACTGAAGGCTCTGCATGTGACCTCATGGATCTCTGCATTTTTTATTGAGAGAATCACGTTGCTGGTAACCCAAGCGGAGTTACTGCTGTCTTAGTCAGAGCTCAATCAGAGCAGCTATAAAAACAAGGGCTGACCCATGAGTGGACTTGTACAGTGGAGTCCACGGCGCCTTCAGAAAGGCATTGCAACGGCCACATGTGACTATGATCAGAGACCCTCTCTGGAGATTTGAGGTGCTCACTAGGTGCAACCTTGGTGGTGGCAAGCAGCCTTAGGTCAAGTCACAATGGCAGCTATGGCTCAATCTCTACCAGGGGTGGGGAACCTTTGGCTTTGGGGAACCTGTGGTTTTGAAGCCACGTGTGGCCCTCTAGGTCCTCGAGCGTGGCCCTTTGGCTGTGGCCTCAAAGCCGCAGGTTCCCCACCCCTGGTCGATACTTTATAACATGTAAGGCCCACCCAGTGGTGGTATCATAGAGGAAGGTTTCTTAATCTTTTTTGGGTCACAGACCTTTTTAGCAGTCTGCCAAAGTCTATGGATCCTTTCTCAGAATGTTTTTAAATGTCTGAAATAAATGGAAAGAAATGCTTAATTTCATTTAGTGAAAATAAAGGTATAATCTCCCCCCCCCCATCCAAGTGTATTGACTCCCAGATTAATAACCCTTGTCATAGGGGAAAGGTCTCTGCCCAACCCTTCTAGGGCCCTTTCCCGGTAAGCTCCTTGAAGGAAGGGATGATTTTCATTTTTGTCTCTGTATCACTAGTGTTTAGCAATGTCTGACAGAGTAGATACTTCATAAACGCTGGTGAATCTGGTTTAAGTCCAGATTAAGGATGCAGCTTTAGGCTTGGGGTGGGTCACTGGGATTCCCTCTGGTCCTGAGAAGCCAAAGGCAGTTGGGTCCAATACCAGGTCATCATCAATTAGGAAGGGGTAGAAGTGCAGCCATTCAGAGATTGTCCTGGGCTTTAGTGTTTCCCTAGAGTGAATTCAAGGACTTGATTTGGGTCTGAGTTCCAAACCCTTGCTCTGAAGGGGAAGCATGTGGGAGTAGGCCATCGTTTACTCAGGTGCATTTGCTTTCAGCTATTAGGAGTGTCTCTACTGAGAATGGGGAAAGTGACTTGTCTAAGAATAGGTGTTCACTGAGAGGCAAAAGGGTGAGCGTGTAGGGAGTTACTGGTAACACTTGTTTCTTAGCATGGTATACAGGCCAAGTTTATCAGATAAACAGAAAATGAACACAGCTGCAAGTTTTCTAAGGAAGGCAAGCTGTGCTAATGGAGGCACTCTAGGAAGCGTTTTTAAGTGTTTTTTTTTTCATTTCCCCCCCCCAATTACATGTAAAGACAATTTTTAGCATTCATTTTTAAAATTCAAATTCTCTTCCTCCCTTTCTCTTCCCTTCTCCCTGAGATGGTAAGCAATTTGATGTTATACATGTGCAATCTTGCAAAACATATTTCCACATTCGTCATGTTGTGAAAGACAGAACCCCCCCCCCAAAAAAATCCCAAAAAACAAAAACCAAACCAACCCAAAATAAAGTTAAAAAATACCATCCTTCAATCTGCATTCAGACTCCATCAGTTCTTTCTCTGGAGGTGGGTAGCATTTTTCATCATGAGTCCTTTGGAATTGTCTTGGATCACTGTGCTGCTGAGAATAGCTAAGTCATTTATCATCGTACAATGTTGCTGTTACTGTGTACAATGTTCTCCTGGTTCTGCTCACTTCACTTTGCATCAGTTCATGTAAATCTTTCCAGGTTTTTCTGAAAGCATCCTGCTTGTCATTTCTTACTAAGTACAATAGTACTGTATTCCACTACAATCATATACCACAACTTGTTCAGCCATTCCCCAATTGATGG